GAAATCCGTCCACAAAAGCCGAGTAATTGAGTGGTAAGAAAGAGGACCTTGGTATGTTGGCCCGTTAGTCTGTGGAGGATGCGCAAACATGGCTTGATGTTAATTCTCAGGTTAGTGTTCATGACGTATAGAGGTGAACAGATGTGTTTAAAACCGCAATTTGGTTCTGTCAAGTTTACCATTGATGCTTCTTGAATTAATAAAGCTAGCCTTAGTGAGGTGCATAGATTATTTTGGAGTCTTGGACATGCAATACACCATGCCAGGGTTGAGATTGCGAGTGATTTTGTGGCAGCTATGGATGCCATTCTGAACTACGTTTCCGGAACTTGCAATTATAATTTCGTGCGACCATCTATAGATTTCGATTCCCTGATAGATTCAAGACAACTAGCGTTGGAATATACTTGAAGAATTCGTCTGGAATAAGTACCAATGAATCGTTTTGCTGAAGGAATAAAGTTGTAAGTTGAGCACATTCGGGGCTTCCACATATCTTTTTAATACTATTACCCATCAACGACATCTTTCTCACATCCCTCCAATTCTTGACTTTTGGTACTTTGCGTAACCCAACACCGGCTTGCACAATACATATATCTTTATGCTTCCCAAGATCAGATGCTATCCATAAAGCCATTTCACGAACCACATCATGCATACTCACATAAGATACATTCTCCTTTACTCTTTCCAACAATAAACATGCACGGACAAGGGTACCAAGTATCTCGTAAACTTGGTTAATTGCCCTTTCTCTACCTTCGCGTTCATCTATGAATCCCTCGCATATCCAATAGTCTACCAAAGTCTCTTTCTCTATAAGAAAATCTTCAGGAAAGTGAGAGCAATAAAGAAATCATGACTTCACCACCTCTCCATTTAAAGTATCATAGCTAAAATTCAGAATAGGAAGAATTTCATCTTCCATGCCTGAAAAATCATCGGCCGATAATGTCAAAACATCGATTGCACGGCGCCATTCTTCTACCGTAGTTCTGCATGACATAGTTTCACCGATTACGTTAAGTGCCAATGATAGGCCAGCACATTTTCCAGCGACTTGTCTTGCGAGATCTGGAATGTCTTCATGAATTTTTAATGTGGTTTCTCCAACTTTCTTTAGGAACAACTCCCATGCTTTGTCGGGATCTAGACAACTGACTTCCATTGAGTCATCAACCTCCATGCGTCCACACACATCTCTAGAGCGAGTGGTGAACACTATTTTGCACCCATTATTTCCATTCGGATAAGGCACTCCGATCGCCGATAAATCCACTTTTGCCCATATATCATCCAAAAACAACACAAATCTCTGACTCTTGAGAACATTGTATATGTCAAGGGCTTTATGGTTTTCTGCTTTTTCGTCCCACTCCTGACCCCAAAAGCCTAGTTTTTTCGCTAAGTCTCCTTGAATCTTATGGATGTCTAAACTTTTAGACACCACAACCCATATCACAACATCAAAGCTGCCCCTCGTGTTAGATAAGAGTGGTTTTGCCCACTCCTCCCATACCATACAAACCCATAATCCCAACTCCATTTTCCATGAGACGGTCCGATACTCTTTCAAGCAGTACCTCCTGACCAACAATGGTGGGTTGAATAGGCATCTCTTCAACCTCAGTAACATGATCAACTTCCTCAGTCACCACATCAAACTCTCCTTGAGAACCAACACTCTCGACTTTCTTCAACATCCGGACAACCCTTTTACCATAACGATAGCTCATTTTCATGGTTTTGGAACAGAATCCACAAAAACATAACCTTTGAAGCTCAACGCTACTAGTTCTAAGCAGATCATTGAATTGATTCTCGACAGCGAGGACACTCTTAAGCCATACCTGGACTTGAGCAAGCCTTTGACGACGCCTTGTAAACTCTTCTCTGTTTACACGTCCCTGCACATCATCTCGCTTTGCCTTGAGCAGTTCCATGTCCTTTTGCAGAGCCGCTAGATTGTCGGAAAGGTTGTAGATATAACTCCCCTTGACACTTAAACATTAAGAGACTTGATTTATAACTTGATCACATGGTACAGACACCGAGAAACAACCTCCCATTGCTGCAAGAACT